GTCAAAGGACTGCAGTTCCCGACAGGGCCACTAAGCGCAAGGACAAGAGTAAATCGGCCAAGGCACCTGTGGTCACTAGCAGATCACCACCCACGCTTTTGGCTGAGGGTCCTTCCCCTGGTTCTTCCCTTCATTTGGCAGGGATCCAAGGTTGGTCTCTTGACACCTCCCCCCGGGCCTACCATTTGAGGAAGGGGAATAATAATTAAAAGCAATGTCAGATTTGGGGAGGTTTTAAGTCTTTGCTAAAGAATTGTAAAGAATTTTGCAACCTGTGGTTGAGTTAGTTTCCCATTTTTTCTTCAATCTGAGAATCTATTTTTTGTTAGGATACCAGATATTTAAATTTATTTATTTATTTGATCAATTTACACAGCTGCCCATCTCAACAGCAACACTCATTGAACAATGATTATTGTAAAAAAATACTTATAGAAATAGCATTTAGACTTATAGATCGCTTCATAGTGCTTTACAGCCCGCTCTGAGTGGTTTAGAGAGTCAGCATATTGCTCCCAACAATCTTGAGTTCTCATTTTACAGACCTTGGAGAGATGATTCAACCTTGAGCTTGTCTGAATCCAACTCCAGTTTGTGGGCAGAGGTAGCCTACAATACTGCATTCTAACCACTGTGCCACCATGGCTACTACAAAGTTTAAAATACACAGCAGCTGAAAAGAGCAATAATCATTCACATAGCTAAGAGATGCACTTGCACTGCACCACCTGTTATTCATGCATTCTCATACACCCTCCCCTACCCAACATGAGCCACCTCAAGGTCTGCCATGCTTGTGTCTCCCTTGCCACCTATGCACCCTTCGAATCTTGTACATGCATCACACCTCCCTGGACACTCATCCTCCCAGAGCCTCATTTGTATCATATATCCTCAGCTACTTATGCACCACCACACACTTTCTCCAACCTGGCAGCAGCTACCCCAACCCTTACTACACTTGTGCCATACCTCCCCAGCCATTCATGCCTCAAAGCACTCATGTCGTGTTTTCCCAGCCATCTGCAGACTTACACCTATTGGTAGCAGCCACCCCAAATCCATTCCACATGCACCTCCACCACCATCTGCGTATCCTCCCCAAACCTTGCTGTACTCACAACATACCTACCCCAGCCATCCACACCCTTGTCTCCTCTCCCACTCAGCAGCCACCTATCAGCCTGCTTGCAATCCACCTGGGACTTGCAACTTGCTGCTGGGCTTCCCCACTGATTGTGTTGTTGGAAGATGGTAGGATTTGTGTGGATATACTTGTTTACCAACTCAATCCTCATTTAATAGCAACAGGGATTGTAGAGATTGATATTGCTAAACAATGTGTCGTGTGAATGCTTTATGTCCACATTGCTTAGTAATGAAAGTTGTAGTCCCAATTGCTGTTGTAACTCCAGAATTACCTGTATCTCTCCAATTGCAATAATAGTGGAAGAAATTCATGTGGTAGCATTTCTTTATTTTCTACTGGCAATATTCTCCCAAATGAGATTCTTATCTTATCTTTCCCCCCCCCTCCCGTGTGTGTGCTTAGAAAGAAACCTTTCTACAAAGAAAAGCCAATTTTCTTGGAAGATATAAATCTATAAAACTGTGCTGTAGCTCAGTCTGGTTTTATGGCAATGGTAGATTTGATTTCAAGATAGCCTATGGTCAGATTTGAAGAATTATAATGAGAGCTGAATTGAAATAAGATGTTATTGATTTTGTAATTGCTACTGTGTCTTATCTCCTAGAAATTCAGAAGGCCTATTTGTTTTCTTTGTAATTAGCTTTGCTTACTTGACAGGTAAAAATTAGAGGTTGCCTGAATAGATGAACAAGCTAAAATTGTAGAGGCTAAAATTGTAACTCTATTTAATAACAACAAGTTCCTAATAAATTAAAGAGAACCTTGAGGCCCTGAATAGCCATTCCTTTTGTACAATCCAGCAAACTCATTGAGACCTGGTATATAAATTATGCTTCCATGTAACCTAAAACTAATGTACAAAAAAACCAAGACTACTAGCTATCCATCCATTGATTTGGCTAGTTCTGTTTAACAATATTACTACTTGTGTTTTCCTAAAAATAAGATTGGGTCTTATATTTTTTGGGCCTCCAAAAAAGGCACCAGGTCTTATTTTGGGGGAAGTCTTATTCCCCTCCCCCATTTTTTCCTTTAAGGGGAGAAGGGCAGAGCAAGCTGCCCCTCGCACCTCCTTGTCGGGGTTCCAAGTAACAACCCCAACGAAAAGAAACTCCAAGGCTTGTGTTTCCTCAAAGCTACAATTTATTGGAGATGTCATATTGGCACATTTGGAAAAATCTGAATCTGAAAGCTTCCAGGCTTTCCCCACCCAGTTAAAAGTTCAGACCCTGCCCCAACACCCACAAGTCCATCACATGGACAATCATTCATTGCCATTCATTGGATTCTTCCCATCCACATCCGTCCAGGTGCATGGACAAGTCTACCTTGAGTTTCTGAGAAGGAATGTTATGTCTACAATTCTCCCATACTCCATACCACCCCCCTTCCTACAATATAATATTGTTATATATATATGTGGCAGCCTTGAGGCCCTGTCCAAAGATGACTTCCAAGCCTGACAATTGCCTAACGTGAAACAGTTGATCTGCGGCTGCTTTAGGCGCTGCCTTGCCTAACATGAAACAGCTGATCTGCGGCTGCTTTAGGCGCTGCCTTGCCTAACCTGAAACAGCTGATCTGCGCTCACTTTAGGAGCATCCTTGCCTAATGTGATACAGCTGATCTGCGGCTGCTTTAGGAGCCTGCATGGACTCCATGAAACAGCTGATCTGCGGCTGCTTTAGGCGCTGCCTTGCCTAACCTGAAACAGCTGATCTGCACTCACTTTAGGAGCCTCCTTGCCTAACACAAAATAGCTGATCTGTGCTTGCTCTAGGAGCTGCCTCGCTTCTTGCGGCCCTGCTTCTTGGAGCTGATGGCAGGATCGCCCATGAAGATCAGCTGTTTTGTATTAGGCAAGGAGGCTCCTAAAGTGAGCACATATCAGGCATCTGTAACAGGAGCAGAATAAGCCATAAATTTATGCATGTTAGAGAGGCCTTCAGGAAAGACCTCTATAGCTGATAACAGAGTTCTGGATCGATCCGGAGCTCTGTTATCGCCTACAGAGGCCTTTAGGAAAGCCTTGCTGGCTGCAGAAAAGATGGGCCGCAGTCTGCAAGACCTGGCTGCAACTATCCAAAGGTAAGTAGTAGAGCAGCTCCAGACACCCCCATCCCCACCCTAGCTTAATTTTTACCTGTGCACCCTGGAGTGGGCAGGGTCTTAATTAGGGCTTATTTTGGGGGTAGGATTATTGGGCATACGTGCCAAAATCAAGCTAGGACTTACTTTCTGAGTAGGTCATATTTTCAGGAAAACACAGTAGTTGGCTATCACCATTTTTGATGGCAACAAATTCTGTAGTTTCCAATTTGTAAAACAATTATCAAATTTAAGTCTTAAATTTGATTAGATAACTTCAATTTTAATATAATAAGAAATAAAGCTTTCCTATTCATTTTCTATACTATGCAATTTCATATACTTCTATAAAATTTTCCTCTTATCAGCCTTTTTTTAAACTAAAATGGCCCAAATATTGTTCTAGTTTCTTGCAGGTTAAGATAGGGTAGTCTTTAATCATTTTGGTAGACTTTTTCTGCGCAGTTCCCAGCGTTATTGTATAGCTTTGAGATACAGTGACCAGAACTGAATACAATATGATTAAAAGGAAGTAATTATATTGGTTGTTTCATGTTTAGTCTTTTTCCTAAAGATTCTATTCAAAGAAATATTTTTATTCCCAATTGTTGCATGTTTTTAATAGAATATTCTGAAAATTACTAGTCTTCTAGACTCAAGAGTGTTTAGAATCAGAGTAGAAAAAACAGGAAGAAACAACATGATTTCAGATTATGTCAGGATAATAGAAGAAAAACATCCTTCATTGAAGCAGATATATATAGTTTTGATCTTGTCTACAGATGGCTTGGGAAGATGTAAAAAATGAGATGGTTGGAGAAAAGGGATTGGCACCAGAAATTGCAGATCAAATTGGTGGATATGTAAGGCTCCATGGTGAGTATCAAAACAGGTCAGATATGTATGTCTTAGTTCTCTAAGACTTGCAGGCCTAAAACCTATATCATTCTCTTCTATCTCATTACTGGTTAAGTGATACATAAGAGTTTACCAGAAAATAGAAAGTCACATAAGAGGAATATACTGGCTGTTTGCTTAGCACACTCATGGCTGCCAACACTAAAGAATCCCTTTCAGTGTATATTCCCCATTGTATGCTCTTCACTCTCTTGTATTCCTTCCTTCCTTTCTCTCCAATCTCTCTGCTCTATGTGAGTGGAAAAAGATGGGTCAGGCACAGGACAATGCATACTGAGTTTAATGGGGATCGAAACAGAGATGGTATAAAGATCATAAATGCTTGAATAGATCACAAAGTTGTTTTTTCAGCATCCTCATAACTTTGAACACTTGCTGCACAAGACATTGAGGCAGTCAGTCAGATCTATCTATATCAATATAGGTGTTCCTTGTTTAAAATCATTTGTACAGCAACATTTTATTTTATTTTACTATTTTTCACATTTTTGAACTGCCCATCTCCCTTAAAGAGGGAATTTATAATGGCATTGGAGTGGTAGTTATGACCAGACTTCATACTTGCTGTCACAGTCTCACAGTTACATAATCTCAATTTGTAATCTTCTCTATCAACTTCCCACAAGCATAGTCTTGAAAACTGACAGGAAGTCAGAAGCCAGGGTTACATGAGGTCTTTGCTTAGCGACCTGAACAGTTTTTGTTTAACTATGGCTACTAGGAAAGCCATCACTAAGCAGTATGTTCATATAGTTTTCAGTTTATATCTGCATGACTTTACAAGGGCATTTCCTGTCTCAGTGTTGTTAAGCAAGGACTACCTGTACTGTATGCCTGCTTCAATTTGCACAACTTGTACATACAATAATGTGAAAAGAAGTATACCCTCTTTGAGTTACCCATGTTTTTCGGAGTATACGCCACTCCGGAGTACAAGACGCACCTTAGTTTTTGGGGAGGAAAACAAGAAAAAAAAATGAGATGCAGGGGCTGACGTCGCGATGGCACAATGTGCGATCTTGGTGCTCCAAGATTGCAATCGATATTTCTGCCGCTGGACTGTCCATTTGGACCTAAACTGTCCTGCAGAGAAGGTGATTGAGAAGCACACCTCCTGCTAATCTCAGGGACACTGCAAAGTCCCTGAAAGATCCAGGAATAGCCTTTTTTCCGGCAATAGAAATACAGCTAATGAAGCTGCTAAAGTTGGGACAGCTTCGGAACGGGAAGAAAGCGAAAAGAGAAAGTATGTCAAATTGGTGAGGAAATTTTATTATTAGAAAAAGAGACTACCCCCCCCAAAAAAAAAAAATTCAGTTAAATTAAAATTGAAGATAGAAGACTGTAAGCAGTGAAATTAATCTATATTAAACAAATGTGGCACTGTGATTATGGCTAGACATCTCCACTTTGGTCTCATCTGTCCAAAGGGCAGTGTTCCAGAAGTCATGTGATTTGTTCAGATGCAACTTGGCAAACCTAATCTGCGCTGCCATGTTCTGTTTAGAGAAAAGAGGCAAACCTTCCAAACAAACAATACTTGTTCAATCTTTTTCTAATTGCACTGTCATGAACTTTGACCTTTAACTTAATACTTGTGCTAATATATATATGAGTTACTTACACACACACAACATGTATAAATGTGTGTGTGTGTGTGTGTGTGTGTGTGTGTATGTACATACATACAAACAAACAAACATAAGAAACAGACATTGTGATCTCTGG